GAGCAAGGCCTGGAGAAAGGAAGATGAAGCCAAACTCCCTGGGGTAAGGTTTGATAGTTCCTACTTTTAGGTGTCTGTGTTAGTTTTTCGAAGCTTACATTGGGCTCCCTGTTATAAAATAGCAAGTGGAAAGAAGGTGATCCATTCTGTCCTCAGACAGACGATGATGGTTGATGGGCTGAAGACCTCTCCAGAAGTGCCTCCCATTCTGCACTGATACAGATGGTGCCCAGAAAGCCAGCATGCATGTAGGCTACACCTGGGCAAGGGAGATGGGAGTACTTCCATGGGCCAGGGTCCAGCTGCACTGCTAGTTGCAGTCCCCAGCACAGCAAAGCACAGCATCATGGTACAATTTGGACAGGTCCTTGATTCAGCTGGCTGGGAGACAAGAACTTTGGTAGCATGGGATCATGCGTTAGCTATCTCCAACAACGGGACAAGACGAATTCCTTCTTGAGCACGCACCTCACACACTGACCCAGACAGAGGAACTACTTGATGAGCCATCCAAGTGAACCATGCAGGTTCAACATCCATGTCCAAAGCCAGCCTCAACTGCTTCCTGGTACAGCATTCCCAGAATCTGAAAGGTCAGGATTAAATCTAGACTTTATATTGAGTCTTTAAGGATATTAACTTGAGAAATAGGACCAAAATGAGAGACGTTTGCATTATACGCAAGTTCTCCTAAGCAGGGAGAGCCAGTTTGAGCGTGAAAAGGAGAACACGCACATGGCCTCAAGTGTGCCTGAGTAATCTATTAACAAATCTTCTAGTCCAAATATTTGGTATTAAAAATATCAACAGCCTCACCCATTTCCTATTGCTAAAACTGAACAAATCCAGTCGATTACATTCCATTATCACTATTTCACAAACAGGGCAGTTAATCGGTAACACCATGAGGCTAACTTCGTAGAACATGGGTGTCACATTGGTCTGTCTGTATTCTAGACACTATCAGTGAATAACGTACTTTTATAATGTCCTCAATTTTTGTTGTCTTCATTTTCTTGTGTCTCTCTTGACATGCTGAAATAAATATTTAGGCCACTTCACTCTATTTACATGATTCCTGCAGAATTAAATCAATAATGTGATTTTAAGTTAACATTATTTAAGGACATGCTGGGCATGTGAATGGTATGTGATTGCCATGTGCTGTCCGTCTGTTGGGCCTGTCTGCTGCAGCAGTGCTGAGGGGATGGGTGTGTTGATGCTATACTAGGGAGAGGGTTACCTCTCATGGTACCAAGTATGTTACCTGCTTGTGGGTGACCCTGAGGTAGAACAAGAGAACTATCAGACCAGTTTACACTTGGTCCCTTGAGGATCCTCGGATCCTCCTTGGATGCCTGAGGATCAGGCATTCAGACTATCTGCACATCAGCTGAAACGGCTTGAGGTGTCTTTAAAGGCAAGCAAGAGCAAGCTCTGGCTTCCCTTGCTTGCTCTTTTTCTGGCTCAATGACTGTTGTATTCTTAGCTGCCTAGAGGTCCAGTTTCAATACTTCTATGGTTCTAGCCTAATGAGAAAGACTGGTACGTTTCTTGCTATTATTTAAAATATATGGATGTTACTTTCATTTTTTGAAAGAGAGTGGTGTAATGTTTGTGCCTAATGCTGAATTTGTTGCTAATAGTTCTCAGATGCAAACACACACAATTTGACAACTGTGTTCATAGACTGAGGACAGTTTTTGTGGAAGCTGAAGATGACAGTGTTTAGATGATTTCAGTTGTTTTCAGATAAAGCCAGCTGGCCATTGGCACTGAGTACAAGGAGGTCATGTCAATCTCAGAGGTTCCTCAGAGTATCAATCACCTGTCTTCATATTCCTTTTGGGTTGTTGGAGTCAGATTCATTGCTGCTTCAAATTGCGCTGAATGAAATCGAGCTGCAGCTTCCACATACACTAGGTTGCTTTCCGTATTCAGCATGCGAGGAACAGAGAAGTGCAGCAGAATACATCATTCCTCGTTTTACGTGAGTCTCCCAGGTTGGACTGCGTGTTATACGGTCATAACTACCAGAGACAACAGTAGCGTCAAGCTATTGCAGTGGTTTCCACATACAGCCTTGCAGTGCCACCTTCAGACCAAAGTAAGGCATCCCACCACTCCTTCAAGGAAAAGCCTATCCCACCTTCATCTGCACTCCAGTCCCAGCCAGGAGACTACGGTGAAGGTGAACTAAAACCACGTCCCAGTTTCAGTTACAGGCTGAACTTTGTTTCCCTACAATATAAATGAAAATAAAGGAAAGGCAAAGGAAAACAGAAGGATCTGCCTCGCAATGCTAGATCATCAAAAGCCGTGTCCAAATCCACAAAATCCTAAACTGTGTTATTTTATTTTGGAAGAAAGAGCTTTCACAGAATACCCCATCCTGAGTCTGGCTCTGATGAGATCTTGTGGGTCCTCTTCCATTCCTATTATGGTACACTAGTTAGTAAAAGCTAGTAAAAAATGAGACTAGCGTTTTTAGAGAAACTTAAGATGACCTTCTGAGAAGCAATTTTACAACCACAACCACTTCTAGGCACAATAATTGTGGTGAAACTAATTTGAGGAAGTCCTCATGTGCAGATCCAATTTGACAAAATATATCTCTTTTTACATGAGCCAGAAGTTTCTAGCACATGTAATCAACAGAAACCATAAATCAGAAAGTGAATTAAACATTTGGCTTTGGGGGTTTTTCTTGCATTTGTACTCAAGATGGACACTGATGAGGTCAATTCTTGCTATTTAACTCAGAAAGAATGATTTTATTAACACACAGGACCATACATTCTCAAATCACTGAGGTATGAGCCATATGTATTTTCTAGCCTAGGGCAATTTTTAATTATTTCTGAATTTTACTCTTTATTCTAATTTCTTCTTCAAAACAAAAATACTAAGACACTGAATCCTACTCATCTCTGATGTTCTCTTGTCTTTAATATTCTTTCAACCTCCACATTTCTCTTCAGTATTAAACTAATAGCTTTTATACAAAGCTGTACAGTTTTAATGTGCTTTATTGACATGTGCGTGTAAACTAATTAGGAGTGACTGGAAGAAAAGGACTGTGGCATTAGCACAATGACATATTTATCAAATATAACCTCCATATATGCAGGCTCATCTTGCAAGATATACATAATAAAAAACAAGACTAATTTTTCCCTTAGACTAAAGTACTGTATATACAGTGCAAGAGGTCTAAATCTCTATGTTCTCTTATTGATAAAACATGACATATTTTTAGTAATCTAGTAAAATCTGTCTACTTCCATGTTAACCCATCTTTGGGGATTTTTTGATTAACACTTTTGGTTTGGTTTTTTGGTTGGTTGTTTTGGGTTTTTTTTGGTTGGGGATTTTTTTGTGTGATTTTTTTGTTTTCGTTGTTGTTGTTGTTTTGGGTTGGTTGGGTTTGTTTGAGGGGGGGATGTTTGAGCAAAAATAACCAACATCTATGAGGGATTTGGTGATGTCAGACCACAGCTTTCAGACACAAAGCTCACATCTGGAACATACTGGGGTCCATCAGCTTATGTGAATACTCCTCAGCTTTCCTCAGAATTCTGGAGAGCAGATACCCCAGAGAAATGTGACATTTTAGACCTCAATATCCTCTGTGTATCAGGGCTATGATAACTTTGGGGACCTGTTTGTATAACTCTAATTACTGTTAATAGTATGAGCTTATTAAGGAGCTGGTTCTTTGAAAACTGGGGCAAGTTTCTCTGTCTATGTAACCACAACAACAAGAATAATCAGCAGGTGCTCTGAGTGGTTCTTGGTGCTGGTTCAGCATGTGTTGTTCCACTGATTAGAGACGAGAACTTCAAAGCTGATCTCTGACCAGTAAAAGACTTGGTCAGGAGGTGGCTGGTACAGGCGAAGGCCATTTTTCCTACAATCTTGGAGATGATAGGGAAGTGGAAAGAATGGGAAGTTGTGAGCAATGAGATTGAAAAGCCAGAAATAACAGAAGAGGAATTTTTTAAGGACTGGCAGAAAGAAGAATGTGGAGGACACACATGAAGTATCATCTGGGGAGGGAGAAGATGGAGAGTCTGTTGTGGTATGTCATAGTGCCCCTTGCTACCAGACTAACCAGGGTTGACAGGGGAGTTAAGACATCCAATAAAGAATAATATAGATAAGGCACTATTGATATCAAGCCTCTCAAGATTTGAATCAAACTTTGCAATTTTTTTTGTTACTCACCAGTAGCTATAACCAGAGAGTTATGATTAAGCAATTGCATTCTGAATGTTGTATGCTTGGTTAATCTTTTGTTTTGATGAAGAGAGAAGATTATCTCGAGGTGAGTGGGCTGTCTAGACCAGAGCCACCAGGAGTGAAGTCAGTAGGACTGAGAGCAGTAACTGGGGGAAAGGTGATTCCGGCAGCGAGAGATCACGATCACCGACTCATTGACCACATATTCAAAACCGACCGCAGATTTAAAAGAAGGGAAGAACTGAGCCTGCGGACTATTTACCATGAGAAGCGAGAGGAGTAACAAGCAAATAGGGGGTTGAGTACTAATTAGAAGTTACGTAATTTGTAACCAATGAATGCTGATGCATTTGTTTGTTCAAACGTATAAATAGTGCGCAGTTTCAATGACCGCGGACATAGCCTTTAGTGCGTTACCTCCCGGCTCCCTGCTCTACGTAAACCAGGATAAAACACAGAAAAACACGGAAACGGCTTCACAGAAACAACGCCTCGGTGTGTGAATTGGCGCTGCGTACTGCGTGACGAGCCCGCTTCTGGGACAACACTATTGCACTCGGAGAATTTATTCTACATCCCGACTTCCCACGGGGTGGGGGGGAGAGGAGGGCTATCCCAGGGTGGGGAAGCCCCGCACGTGCTCCTTGTTTTGGGGGCGGCCGCCCGGGGAGTGGGCGGTGCCGGCGGGCGCGAGCTGCCGCGCCTGCGCGGGGAGGCGGGGCTCGCGCGGGGCCCGGGCGCGCGTGCGCGTCGGCGGTGTGGGCGGGGCTGAGCCGGGCCCGCGGAGCGGGGCCTGTTCGCTCCCTCCGCCGGTGAGCGCCGAGCCCGGGCGGGCAGGGAAGCAGGAGCGGCGGCGGCGGAGGGCTTGCCCTCACGGGATGTCGCAGACTGCCATGTCCGAGACCTACGGTAGGAACCGGGAGCGGAGCGAGGGGATCCCCCCCTCCCTCTTCCCCTCCGGGAGAGCGGGCCCGGGGCCGGGCGGTGTCCTCTGAGGAGCGGGGGGGAGCCAGTGTGGCGTGAGGGTTCCCCGGGCCCGGGCGGGTCCCCCTGGCCCACCGCTCCCCTGGCCCTGCTGCGCCTGCCCCACCCGTGGCTGCCCGGCTGGGAGCGTTCCCAGTTATCCTTCACCATGAGGAAGTGCCAACTTAGACACTGCTCGCTATGGGTCAGGGATTCCGAGGGAAACTCAGTGCATGTCCTCTGAGAGAAGCTGCCCGTTTCTGTCGTTGGAGACTGTGTGTGCTTCAGAGGGTCAAGTTAAGGTTTCGGCCCTGTTGTCTTAGACATGCAGGCATCAAAAGGAGTTCACTGTGAGAGTGAGTTGAAATGGATGTCTGACTGCTACTGGTAGGAAAACATCCGATGGAGTAAGTCGGAGCGCAGGCACTGACAAGGTGTGTCAGCACCTCGCTGGGAAGCATCAAAGAGAAGTGAAGAGTAGAAGAGCTAAGCAGAGCTGGTGTTGCTCGAGTGTTTGACTCTCCTGCAGGAATTGGAACAAACGTTTGCAAAACAAACTTTCTGGATGGCTAGATTGCACTCAAGGTTCAAAATAAAAAAATGTACTGCAGTTAAATAGTTGCTTTTATGAGAGACATTTTTACTCTTCCTTTCCTATTTGACCAAAGAAGTGAAGTGCCATTTTGAAGGTGGGGGAGGTGAGAAGCAACTGAATAGTATTCATTTCTCTTCTTTATAATCTTGCTTAAAACAACCCTTCTTGAATAGATTTTGCTTTTCTCCCAATTCCATATCATACAGTTCCATAATATTTTGCAGTGTAAAGATGCTGCTGTACACATAAACATATTCAAAGTCCATGGAATAGGCTCATATTCATAGTCCATGAGAGTAAGATCAGAATTGAGTGCTGTGATAAACCCTTTCATGGGTCATTTTCTGTTTTTTTCTGTTGCAACATCTTTTCTGAGAGTGGTTGGGCACTAGAAGAGGCTCCCCAGGGAAGTGGTCACAGCACCAAGCCTGTCTGAGTTCAAGTGTTTGGACAATGCTCACAGGCATGTGGTTGATTCTTGGGGTGTCATGCACAGGATCGGGAGTTGGACTCGATGGTCCTGATGGGTCCCTTCCAAATCAGCATATTCTATGATTCTTCAGTGGTGGTTCAAACTTTTGAGTTGGATTTGCATCCTCTTGCTTTTAGAGCAGAGTCTTGAAAATAAGCGGTAGTTTGGATAATTAAAGCAAAATTGGACACAACTCTGCTAACTGTGAGGGAGGCTGGCATGGCCATCAGGAGTTCTTACTAGTAGGCTGACTGACTTGATTGTTTCTCCTATGTAAGTCAGTTTATTTCAATACTCTAGTCATCAGTGCTTGCTGGTTTTTCCTACTGGTCTGTGCTTTGGTGCACAGCAAGTGCACAGAACTAAGGGGCAAAATGAGGCAAGAGTGTGTGGGGCAGCCATTGAAGTGCAAACACTGAGATACTAAGACCCTGCTTCTTTTGTCCATACTTCTTAGATATATGCAGAACATACCTGTAAAAACCAGAGGGGTGTGCTTTGCAGATCTAGATTGGAGTTTGAGCAAGTTCCTTATGCTCTGAACTCTTGTGATCAAGAACTGGGATCGCTTCGGCTGTGATTAAAGTGGGATTGGTGGTCTCTGAGCAGATGGGTTGGTAGAAAACCAGAGATTACAGGATTTCAGTAGTGCTCCTCTTTTTATGCTTTAATACTAAGTAAGCTAAATAGATGATTGGTATCTTAAACAAGAACATTTCAACATTTTTTGCATTGTTCCAGTCATGCAGAATAGGGATTGTAAGCCTGCTGTAGCTGTTGATACTTTCCAGTTTCTTTGGTGTCCTAGAAAACAAGCCCTTGGAAATGAAAGGTTTGCAGTTGTGGATTGTGCCTGTTGAACAACCTTACATTACCCTTTTGAGTTTTCATTTTATCCTGTGCATACACAAGCTACAAAAAATTCTGAACCGGAATGCTTGAGAGTGTCAAGTTTTAGAGAAGATAGACTAACACTAAGTTATAGCATAAAATTTAAAAATGGTTATACCACCTCTGACTGTAATAGTAGTCACTATATAATTTTGCATTGTCCTGTAGACATATGTAGCAGCCCCGTTGACAGATCAAAGTAAACAATACAGTGTGATAAAACTGTGGATCTGCTGTGCTTGATGAACTTCCTGGGATTTAATGTGCTCGCTGTCCTAACAAAGGATGGTTTGTTTCTGACCAGCTGTAACGTGACCATCAAGGATGAGAGAAGTATTAGGGCAGTTTTGGCTGGTGGGGAGACCAGTGGTCACTGTATCCCCTCAGTGCTGGAATCCCTGTAGCTTCTGCCCTTACAGGTGCTTATTCATGAGTTGGATTTTTCTTCTTGTCACCTGAATTATGACCCATTCTGATTATGTAACCTCAAGCTTTTCATCCCATATGGATAGGTTCAGAAAACTGGCTGCTGGTTGGGTTGGTGGGGTTTTTTTTCCCCCATGTCATTTTGCTGTCTGACCTTTATATGATTTTAATTTTGCTGTGAGGTTTCAACTTCTCTTTCCTTTGAAAGGGGGGGCTATTTTTTTCAGTATTTTTCTCAATCCATGAGGAATAAAGAGCCTTTCCTCTGGTCAGTCCTTTCTGCCTATCATATTTCATTATCCACCTCAGTTAATTTACTTATCTTCTCCTTTTTTTCCCCCTCCCTGAGTTCCTCTATGTCAAATTCTGTCTGCTTTGAAGCTTTTCTGTCCACTCACTTTTCCCAGCTATTTCTGTCCCTTACTGAGATTCTTGTTTCTTCCCTCTTTTCAAACCAAGTTCTGTAGCTTCTCAGTCTTGACACTAATTTTTGTTCACAATTTATTTTTCTCTCCTATCAATGTATTTCATAAGTTCCATATCTTCTCTTCTTAGCTTTCTAATCTGTTTATCCCTTTCCTATGTGTTCAATTTATTTCCCTTACAAAGTGCCAGAACCAAACCAAACATGAATACAAGATAACTCCATGAATTTGGGTTTAGAAAGAACATTTTATTGCTGCTTTGGGGGCAATTCTTTTAAAAATTTATCTTGTAACATTGGAAATGAGTCTCTAGGAAAATTATTTTTACTCAATATTTCTGAGATGCAATGGCATTTCTGTAGATAGTTACCATATGACAACACATGCATGTTTTAACGTCCTTCCCAGGGCAAAGTATAAGTGGTTTTGTGTTGTGGTAAATACAGACTGACATAAAAATAGCTTACCCTTAATAGGTAAATGCAAAGCAACCTTTGGATTTTAAGTAGTAGAAGGATAGAAGAAAGGCTGTATGACCTTTGAATCAGTGCGATATGTAGGATTCAAGTCAGATCTCTTCACTCCCTCCTTCCCTGTATTTTATCTTTTAGTATCTACTGCTCCCAGTCTGTTCCCATAAGTTTATCAATTTCTGTGATTGTCAGAGAATGTATAGTCTCTTCTGTCCACTTGAAAATAATTCTTTTTGGTCTGGACAATTTGATTCATGCTTTTCTCGCCATCCCTTCCCCTGGCAGTTACCTGGCGGTCTCTGCGTTTATCACCCTGGCCTCCAGTTTGTTCCAAGTCTGACTTTATTTCTTAGTCAACGTAGCTCTTTTGCTTGTAAGGAAGCAAATCTTCCCTCTTCCAAGCATTCCTTATGCAGATTGGAGTAGAGCTAGATTTATCCGTTCTACCTGTTTATCTTGTTAACTTCCTGCTAGAAAAAGGAGTAAGCAGTGGGAATAGCTCCTCTTTTCTCTCATTTTGAGGCAGCATATGCCAGTAGGAATGTTTCAGAGCACTCTTTCCTTCTGCAAAATAGATGTCTAATAATGAGGAGACCTTTTTTTTTTCCCCATGGCATGAATGAGAGTTTCCGAAGGGTCAGCACTAGTGATTATAAATTCTACTCTTTAGCAAGGAGTTGGAGGGAGATCAAACTGAGATTGAGGATATAATTTGGTCTCTCACCCTTCCTCCACCCCGCTCTACAGTATTAGCAAGAAGAAACAATTTAATAGACTAAGCTGCAGTAGCTCAAAACCTGTTCAATTATTCTTTCTGCTGGAGCAGACTTCAGTCAAAGGAGGTGGTTGGATATCTGGGGGTGGTTTCCACATGAACCATCTGTTTTTTGCTGGTACTTGAGTCAAAGCCCACAAGTGTCTCTCTTCTCCTTTCCCCTCAGCTCACACCTCACCTCCCCAGAAGGAAAAAACAAATGCAAAACAGCAACCAACATGTAATTTATGTAGTTTAGCTGCTCGTGTTGCTGGTGCATCTTTAGGGTGAAGCCACAGTTCTACTCCTTTTCACCTGTGCTAGAATGTAAGTTTTTTTTCCTTTACCCACTACCCAGTTTGGGATCAGGTGACGCGTGTAGCTCACAGAGGGCAGTCAGTTTAGGGCTAAACTGTATAAAGATGATTTTATTTACAGGCAAAGTACTTTACCTTTTCTAGACATTTTCAGTAGCCAGCATGGCAGCAAGCATTTGTAACATCTGAGTGATGTTGCTTTTCAGCTTTTTTATGAAGGAGGAACAACAGAATTAAAAAGAAAAGTTTTTCTTGGGTGACAGCCTTGGCAGCTGACCGGAATGCTGGAGCTCAGAGCCACTTCGTCGCTCACAGAAAAAAAAAAAGAAAAGGCTGTGAAATAAAGTGACTTAACTCCTCTGGGAAGAGGACATCAAAAAGAAAATCTAGAGCAATTAAGAAGTTGCAAAGAATGAATATTTTAAAGTTCTTACCAAGTTTGAGTACGCAGTGATGTTACAGTTGGTCTAAAAGAAGCTATCAGTCCAGTCTCATTTGGTTTCTGTGTTTCTGAACTGTGCTAAATTTTTAGATACATCTGTACAGCTTAAAGAGAAGACATTTCATGTCCTAAATCAAGCACTAAAATAAGTTATAAAAATGTAATTGATGTAATACCCGTTATCATACAGAATGACATTATAAGAAAGAAGTTCCAGAATAACAAAATGAAAGATGTTCTCCCTGTTATCACCTGCTAGGCTGTCAACTTAAAAGCTTGTTAAACCTAGGTATTTATGATTTTGGTATTGGCAAAGCCTTTTTCTTGCCCTTCCTTGCAGATGATTAACTGTGCAGAGTATTCCATATTTCCTGAACCATTTTTTCCAGTACTTGTGGACAAACTGTTAACATAAGTCTAAAAGCCTCTTGCTAGTTTGAACAATTTACATAAATTTGGAGTTCAAACTGATGGAAGCACAGTTACATTTAAGAATGCAACATCCAAATCTTTTACTCTACAAGTCTACATGTGCTGCTGCCTTTGATGCAGAAAGTTTTTAATTTTTTTTTTTATTAGAAGATTTTGATATTTTCATTCTCTGGTGGAATAAAACACATTTGCCTTAGTTTCATACTGTGAACAAGTGAATTGTAACTGCAGTTTCAAGTTTCACCTTAGAGAGTCTGTTTGCTGTTTTACCAGAGGGAAATTTATTTTTTGTCTACTAACTAAGCAGGCACTGAACTGGCATCTAAGTGATTTATCTGTAGGAAAGATTCCCTTTTAAAGTTGTTTTGCAAAATAGACTCTTGATAGGAATCATGAGTCTAGTATAAAGTGCTGCTAGAATATGTTACCAGTTTAAAGACAAGAATATAAAATCCCCAAATATCATTCTTACTTTCAGAGAGCACCTCAACTTAAAACATCTCAGGGAAAAATACGCTGCTGTTCTGGAGCTCTTCCAGATCGGTCCCTAACAGCAACATCCTTGTCCCAGTATCTCACTGGCCCACAGCCTGTCTGTGCAGAACGGAGCAGGGTGTTAAATTTGCTGTTCACTGTGGGTTTATGGGTTGCACAAATGTGGCTTTGTGAGCCACATTTAACCACCAGTGCTTACAACAGTGCAAATTAGTGAAGGAATAGAGTTCCGGGTTTATTCTTTTCCTGGTTTAGGTTGACAGTAGCTGTTACACTACTGTCAATCATATGAATTTTCTGTGGAAAAAAGATGATGGTAAACTTGAATTTTACAGTTGTTTTTAACAAGAAAATCTGGCAAACAGCATTCCCCAGATACATAGTGCAACAGTTTTAACTGGATTTCGGATTTATTTTTGGAAACATGGCAGATATCAGAAACACATTATTTTAATTGTGAGTTCTCAGAACATCTTACATTTTGAGAAACTTTGAAATGGTAAAACTGGTGAGATTGCACACACCCACAGTAGTTTAAATATACAAAATGGTGTACAAGGCAGCTAACGAGTTATATTTGATCCATAAAAATTAAATCTTGGGTTTCTTTGAGATTTTTTCTTAACCTGACACTTTGCAATTATTTATGATGTCTGCATTTCATACTAACAGTGAAGACTTGATAGAATGAAGCATTCTCAGCTTCAGCATGTTTTGCAGTTGAGGTGACATGAGGGGCCCTTCTTTACAGGAGATAACACACAAAATTTTCGCAACCTGAAGGAAAATCCTGTTTGTAACAGTTTTTTTTATCCAGAAAGCATGAGCAGCTGGGTGGGGGCGTGAAGAATGAGAGGAGTTTGGAACAGAATGTCTTGAGCATGTAAATGGTCACATTTTGTGAGCAAGAAACAGCAATCTCTTTCTGAGAAGGGTAGAATACAGAATGTATACCGAGTCTTTTACAACATTTGAAACAAGAAAAATCATGCAAAGGCAAAAAAAAAAATCAAAAGTCCTTAATAAAACACTACTTGATTTTAAATATGAATAAAATCTGGGAGATAAGTGAAGACAAATGGTGGTGGACATTCCCAGAACCTGTGGCCCTCTATTTTGTTACTGAATTTTTAACAGTAGACGTTTTCTTAGCATTTGAGAAACTTGCTTGTTCCTTTCACCATTGCTAGAGGGTGTTTATGATACAACAGAACAAATAATTCCTGCACGAAATGGAATGAGCACATAGATTTGTGTGCATCTTAGATTCAATTTTTAAAACTAAATATTCAAATGATGTTCTGATAGAGTATTGTATTAGTGCTTTGACTTGCCAGGCACAATCTAATTTTCTTTTTATTCTGTCATCCCCATGGCCAATATCCATGTAACCCATTTCACAGCTTTGAACACTATTAAAAAAATTATTGTTCTTATTTTTGTTGATACTGCAAACTTAATCCTTTTCATTGCATGCTTACTGGATGTTTTCTGGAGACCTGCTGTGTTTATAAGAGAAACTGTGCAATAAAGATAAAAAAATCTGCTGCTGGTAGAAAAATAAATAGCAAATCTTGCATGAACTGGGGTTGCCTTGGTGGTGATATATTGGAGGAAGCAATTGTAAGCTTTCTTATCACAGTTTGTCCGTTTTGAGAGCAGTAAAGACAGGGAAGGTTTCTTCAGTCTTTAGTGAAACTAAAGCAAATTCAGGGAGGTAACATTAAAGCATTATATGTATCTGTTGAAACAATACAAATTGTTCTGTTGTTTTAATATAAACATAAATCTTGAATACATGTGTTACCAATGAACACTGATGTAAATGGCTCATAAATAGGTAATGTGCCAGAAATACCTGTATACTAATTTACCATGTGGAAGAAATGTGAAAACAGGCATCCCAGAATAAAAATACTTCTTCCCTTTAAATTTTGTAGAAAAATATTGTTGTTGTCCAAGGTTTACATGAATTAAAACAGAGTACAAGGAGTAAACAGTTATATAGGGAAGTTCAAATTAATGTGAATAAAATAATTTAAAAAAATAAAAATACAATAATGTAGAGATTTTTAAAAATTGCATCACTATATAGGGCACCTGTACTGGCTCTAGTTAGTAGATTACATACCCTTCAAACAGGTTTATTTTTAACTCAATTCAGATTCAGCCATTTCCATCTCTTTTTGTCCATCTTGTATCTCCATAAACAAACAGCATTCTTTGAAACATCACTATTGAACACACTACGTTATTCTTGAGATTTATTGTTATTTTGCTAATTTTGTCATCTATTCCTTTCTCTTTAAGGAGAATAGCTGGCTTGTGACAAAAATGTGAGTATGTACTACAATTTAATAATTTTTTTTCTTTCAATCTTCAGATTTCCTGTTCAAGTTCTTGGTCATAGGAAATGCTGGAACTGGAAAATCCTGTTTGCTGCACCAATTCATTGAAAAGAAATGTAAGTATGTGTGAAACACAGTAAGAGTTTTTTACTGCTTTGTACCACATGCTTTGTATCACTCGGTCTTGTATGTAAGTTCCTATAATTCTCTTGTTTGTGTAGGTGAGGATTTTGGCTAAGGATTTTGTTCAGAACCATGCTGTAAGTCTTTATTGCTCACTGTTTGCCTCTAGCCAGAAGCCTAATATGGAGCATTATGCCCTATTACTCTCAAATAAATATAACAGGATGGTGATGAACATACTGTCTTCTTGTGAGAAGTTATATCTTGCAGCTATAAGCTTCCCTAGATAAATAGTAGAGACTTGGATCTTTTAGAAAAAATTATTAAAATAAAATTGAATTGCTTGAGTAGATTTAGAAAGCCTGTAGTATCTTTCTAAATAAATAGTCATGCTGTTGTCTTTGTTAAGGACTGTGTTCTGTGATAAATACTGGTAGAGATTCCATTGTGAATGATATTTAGAGATGAACAGATAATAGAAAATTTGCCGTCGGGGAGTGCATTTGGCACCATGATTAAACAAAACCAATATGCTTTTAGAAACCTTTGTAACTCTAAGGTGACTTATCTTTCTCAACAAAATGGTAACTCACCTTATCTCTTGAGGAAAACATTAGGATAATAATGTGTAAGCACTAAGGAACATGGCATCGTTCTATGATTGAACTTGAAACATGATGTTGCTTCTAGCAATGACAGTTGTGTGTTGCTGAGAATCTGCGGTACCAACATCAAGCTACTTCTGCTTTAAAGAAGTAGCAGCTCTTGCACATTCATGGACAAGACTTCTTTTTTTGTTCTGTTTTCCCATGAATTTTAAATTTAATTGGCATCAAAGTATTAGAAAACACAGTTGGAAAAAAAATGTACAAAGGGTATCTTGCCATTTATGGAAGTGAACTGGAACTTATTTAAGCAGGCCTTTCTAGTAGTAATTTTAAATTGAATAAGCTGTTCGAAAATTTTAAAAATGTTTATTTCTGTGTGCAGGCAATGTCCTTATGAGTGGGACTAAATTTGATGGTTCAGGAGGTAGTTAGTCATTTGATCACTGAGGAGTTTTGATTATACCTAAATTTGCTTAATGTAAAAACTAATTATTCACTTTAAATGTTCTCCAAATAAGTCTGGGTTTATTTCTTGTTTTTTTGTAGTCAAAGATGACTCAAATCATACTATAGGAGTGGAATTTGGTTCAAAGATCATAAATGTTGGTGGTAAATATGTAAAACTGCAGATATGGGATACAGCAGGACAAGAGAGATTCAGGTACTCTTTCCAGTCATTTTCTTAAGTGTTTGTTATTAAATGGTTGCTGTGGATGTTGGCTATTATTTACCCCTGCTTACAAATACTCATACTGTATGTGCCTAACTCTGTGTTTAGAAGGCCTTCTGTTGGTTGGAATAAGTAAATGCCAGGAAGTTGTAAGCTGTTCAAAATCTGCATGAAAACAATTGTATAGTTTTGTTTTATTAGAGGAGAAAAAAAACCAGTCAGATTTATTTGGGTAAATAACCATCTAGAAAGACTGAGGTATCTTAAGTTTCTTAAAGAAAAAGCAACCTATTTGTCAGCTTAGAACCACCAGTATACTTTTAATGCTATATTTTAATTGTATTCTACATCTGAGGCATAGGTCAAACTCAGTAAAAATCTGGGGTATTCCTGAGTACATTCACCATCAAATAGGGCATCAATTTTTTTTTATATTTTGGGGGGATGGACTGTGTGTGTGTGGAGTTTCTTTGGTCTGGGAGAGGGGGTGGTTAACAAAGCTGCGTATGATGGTAGAAGTCTGAGTGAGGGGCAGCAGTCCAGGTGAATATCCCCTACTAGACAACTTCTGTGGATATACCTCTGACTAGGTAAAGCTGGACAGTTGTATGTAGTCTTCATTAATGAGGTCTCTTCAGTTTGTTGACCAGATACCAGCTCCCAGTTCTGTATCTGGTCATATATTATGATGATACTTATACCTTCAGCAGCACACAGGTCATAATGGACTTTGAGAATCCCTGTGCAGCTATGTTTAATGAAAATCCTTCATCAAAATTCTAGTTGTAAATAGTCTGCTGCTGCACAGTTGCTAATGTTGTTGAAAAAACATGTTTTATTTTAAATATGGAAATGAGAATTCTGTTTTGTAATATAGATGGTGTTATTTTAACGCAGAATTTAAACAATGAAAGCACCACAAAAATGTATATCTGTAATTCTATTTCAGGTCTGTAACAAGGAGTTACTATAGAGGGGCTGCAGGTGCTTTGCTTGTCTATGATATAACCAGGTAAGAAAGCTAGCAGCTCTTTCAATTAATGCATAATGATTCCTCCCCAAGTACCTAATCCTCTAATGGACAATGGGCAAGAAGAAAAAAAAGCAGATTGAAAAAGTACTTCTGTTTCAGTGCATATTTAAGTTTTAGAACTGGCTTACGTGAAATATTGTGAATGTCAGAAATGTAAAGAATCCTAAAGGGTTAGACAAATACATGGGTATTGGCTCACCAGTAGCTGGTCTAATCATGGTGGACCACATGCAACTAGTGGCTCAGCAAGCCTTGCCACAGAAACCAAGAGGAGACTTCAGCCACCCTTAACGGAGGCAGTACACACTTATGTGTGGAAACTTCTAATTAGTATGCTGATATAGTAGGTCATTCTCTGGAGAAAATAGCTCTGCCTACACATTCCTTAACTGTATCCCAAAATTCTGTTAATCTCTGCATTTTATAATATTAAAATATTGTAGGCAGCCTAGTAAATCCTTACAATTCCACCTGAAATTTAAGTATCCCTAACATTCCAAGTTAAACAATAACTCACTCTGGTATCCCAAAATTTCACGCACAAAAGGCTGAAACTAGATTAAAGCTTAAAATTTTATCTTTTCTCAGTCATAGGGTGGTTTACGATTGTGTGTGTGTTTAGAGATTGTGGTTGATTTAATTTTGGTTTTTAAAAACTTAAGCTTTTAAATAATTTCATGAAGGAATTTGATACTCTTCCCAGTTCATCATTGGCATGTTGAGATGTGTAGGTGCCTTGCCTGACTAGCAGCAGTTTGTTGTTTGCCACAAAGACAGATTTGTCATCTGAGTTTTGGTTCAGTGATCTGTTTGTGAGAAATGAGTGTGTTCTAATAGAGGATGTCATTTTCTACATAGCCGGGAGACCTACAATGCACTTACTAATTGGTTGACGGATGCAAGAATGTTAGCAAGTCAAAATATTGTGATAATACTGTGTGGAAACAAAAAGGATCTTGATGCAGATCGTGAAGTTACGTTTTTAGAAGCGTCCCGGTTCGCACAAGAAAATGGTAAGTAGTACAAAATCTTCATGTAGCATTCAAAGATGCATAGTACTTAAAATAGTTCAATTTTTTTGTGCAGTTAGGATGTACTTTGCCCACTGTACCTTGTCTACAGAAAAGAGTTCTGTCAGTGCAGGAGGCACAGAGACACAGTGCCTGCAGTGAAAACCACATGTACTATTTAAGTCTCATTACTGCTGATTCTTCCAGTCGCAGCTGCTGCTTAAAGAGTACCTTCTATATGGAGATATATTCCCTAGGGAATGTAACGCAACTTCAGGTATTGCCTTGCCTCCAAAGGGCTGAGGAGAAAATGAAGGACATGATTTCCTGTTTTTCAGTGTCTTATAGACTTAGATAATAGACAAGGTTGTATGGGGTGTGCTGCTGTTGGAAGCATTGAGTTTTCAATGAGTTTTACTCATAAGAAACTGAGTTTAATGCAGGGCATGGATCTAGAGGACTATTACCTGGTCTGTAGGACTCAGAATTTCCAGTCTGGAGACGTGTTTCTGTGGCAGCTAAAGCCAGTCTCGGTCTGAGCTTCTGTGCTGCAGTCCTGCCATCAGCAAAATCTGGTTTTGCTTTTATAAATCAGTTATAGTCTTTTCTACCAACTCTGGTTACTGACTTTGCTTTTGCATGTTAGTGCGAATCTGTAGGAAGTTCATTGGTTTCATGTGCTACTTTGCATGCACAGCCCAGGTTATTATCTTTGGATTCCAGCTTTCCAGGGTTGATACATAAATTTCAGAGGACATTTTTTTGTGGTTTTGCCATCAAAAGCTAATTTTTTTGGACCATGCTACCTGACTGTAGATCTCTGTAAGAATATTGCTCCTAGCTTTCATACTTTGAACTACTATATCTGATGTTCCAGACTTATTTTGAGATTGGTTTTTTTTTGGTGTCAAATGCAGAGCTGATGTTCTTGGAAACAAGTGCTCTAACGGGGGAAAATGTTGAAGAGGCCTTTGTACAGTGTGCAAGAAAAATACTCAATAAAATTGAATCAGGTAAATTAAGCTTTATATTCTTTTAAATTTTTTTATTTCATTTGAAAACTAAAAAAGTACACATGAAAATACTACTATTCAAAGTTCTCTAATAGAATTAACCCCAAACCTCCAAAATAGCATTGTAGTAAAATAACTCATTTGTTTTATAGCTGCTTCCCATAGGAATGGATGTGTTAGTGAGATCTGTGTATCTAAAAAGGGGTGGTGGTGTGAATTGTGGATGTTTCTACACAGTGTTTACCTTAGCAGTCAACTCTGAGTGCAGGTTGTACGTTCTGTGTGGGTTGCTGCATCCTACAAATACCAAGTGTGACAATGGGCAGAGTAAAAACCTAATATCAGGGCAGACATAACTTTTAATTCTGCTTCTCGTATGTAGCATGAAATGCAGTCAAGAGAATTTGAACAGAAATACTAAAAATTTCAAGGATGTTTCCTAGCAACTGTGTTTTTCTGAAGTGACCTTCCTGCTTCTTAGTTGAAACCATTTTTACTTTTACAGATCTAGAAATATACCAGAAGCTTCTCAGTGCAAGTGGGCAGGTTTCTGTGTGTTAGGTGTCATTACAGCTAATTTGCATTCCAGTTTTCCTCTTTTCTAGCTGCTTGATATCTTCAAAGTTTTAAGTATTAGCCATAT